TGGGCAAACCAGAAAAATACTTTATAATTTCTGTACGGTATAAGACCCAGTCAACATTTTTCATGGACCATTTGGAGGTCGGAGTTATGGGAGTGTTTTCTATACGTATATCATTGAAAGTAATCTTGATAGGAAAGTGATCGGAGCCGTACGTATCAGGAAGGGTAGACCAGGCGAAAGAAGAACATAGACCTGAAGATAGGATAGTTATGTCCACGACAGATTTAATTTGCCCTGGTGGGGTAATTCTTGTAGCTGAACCATCGTTGACCACTACAAAGTTTTGGAACGAGTCTAGTGCTTCTAGCACAGTATTACCTTCAGTAGAGCTTACTGGAGAACCCCACATACCATGATGGGCATTGAGATCCCCTCCTATGATACATTCGTACTTTATTTGTTTAAAGATATTTATGTAATCTGAAGCTAAGGCCTTAACATTTGGTGGTCTGTACATACTAACAACGGACAACTTTCTACCGTCATTGAACACGTTTATACCACATATCTCAATTTTTGAGTTGAAATTATTCGTGAAATTTATTGGTTCAAATTGAATAGATGTCGAGACAAAAATTGCAACCCCCCCGTAACCATCATCTCTATCTTTTCTAATAATATGAAATTTTTTAAAATTCGTATTAAACGACTTTTTGTACCAAGTCTCCGATACCAGGGCGATATCGAAGTCTTCTTCCACCTGTAGTTGTTCGAGTGAGTTTTTATTAGCACGCAAAGATCTGGCATTCCACTGAATGACCTTCAACCTTCTGGGAGCCATGAGCTAAGCGAAAACTTTTGCTAGGATGTTTTTAATTTTAGTGTCCAGTTCACTTTCACAGTTTGCTTGTGCTGTGTCATTAAGGGGTGTTTTTTCACTGATGTAATCTTGTAAACATTGCTGCAAGAGTTTTTTTATTGCGGCGGTTAGCTGGTTAATCAGCTGGTCGGACTCAGTGCAGGATTCCTGTGCTTCAGATTGGAAAACAGGCCCAGCACAAAATGAAGAATTATATTCTCTACGGATGGGAGCGAAATTAGGAGAAGTATCCCTGGTTTTTCTTTTTTTGGGAGGATTCGCAAAAGGGGATGGTTGAGGGCTTGAAGCTGCTTTGTGACTTGGTTGTTGAGTGGGAGAAGAAGTGGATTGAGATGAAGAGGTTAGAGGGGGAAATTCTATATCTGAATTTATTAGAGGGGCAAATCTATTTTTTTGAGTAATACTAGTATAGCACGGATTATCAATGACTTTCTCAGCCTCTTTAAATGAAATATTCAGATTTGCCATAGCCTCCTTAGTTCTTAGCTGTTTTTTGTACTCAGGACAGTCACGAAATGTTGAATCATGACTGTTGTTTTTGCAGTAAACGCAGTATACGTTGCAAGCGTGATTATTATCTGTATCTGCAGAACCGCACTTTCTACACCTTCTACTACTCTTACATTGAGATGCTGAATGCCCGTATCGCAAGCATTGGAAGCATTGCATAACTGGGCTAATATACGTTTCAACCGGGCATCTGACTTTGTTTATGAAAACAAATTGTGGCAGCAGCTTACCTGCAAAAGTGACAACTACAGTTTGTGTAGGAACCCGGAGAGAAGATTCTCCATTATTAACGGTTCTAGTCATTCTGTGCGCTTTTTTCACAAGGATGTTAGATTTTATGATATTAACTAGAGAATTTTCATTAATAGCCGTGTCAACACCTCGTATTAAACCACGCTTCTCTGTAAGGTGGTTGGGAATGTACGCTACAAGATTATTAGCTTCAAATAAGGAATCTTCTATGAGTTTATTGGCAGTATCACCCGAATCAAGTTCAATTTTTATGCGATTACGACCTACCGTGCTAATTTCTAAAATGTGTTTTTCATATTCAGCTAATGCTGCTAATTTTTCTCCCAGCTTCATTGGGTGAAGTCGACCCAAATTTAAGTCAAGGTGTTCTACAAATACAAAGTACGGGCCTGTGTCACTGTTTCTAAATCTGTTGTCCGTATTTTTGGGCGACTTTTTCGCGATATAGCCGTATCAGCAGAGAGAACATAATCGGGTTTTTCTGTAGATTTGCTAGTGCATGCAGTATCATTCTTTATAGGTTGTATAGGGGTATGTATGTTGTCATGATCACTATCAACGAATATAACATCTTCGCAATACACATTGCTAGGAATTTGCTGCGGACTATCTTGCGTCAGAGGCGGCGGATCCCCGCCGCCTGGAATGTTGTAGCCACCAGACATCTGTTTACACAGAGCTGGGGCAAAAAATCTGCATGCGACCCAGGAAAAAAAGGAATAAAGTCTACTTACAGTAATTCAGCAAGGAAAGTATGTGTGTAAAACCCAAACCAATAGATAAGAAATCTGTAATTGATCCGCACCACGCTCTAAGGAGACACAACCATATACGACCTATCCGGACCGTGGTTGGAACAAGACTGACAGGAAAACTTCATTTTATTGATGGAAATATGGATACAAACAAATATTTGGCAATTTTAGAAGAATCGCTTTTACCAGTGATGGAAGAATGTTTGACATCCGGCCAAGGTTTTGTGTTTCAGCAAGATTGTGCAGCGTGCCATAACTCAAAAAAGCCGTAATAAAAAATAAAGGTGATGTTACCCAATGGTAATCTTTCAATTGTTGCATTGTTAACTTCGCGCATTTATTCGAACATTGTTTATTTGTTCAGATGTTCTATTAGGTATAGGTCTAAATGATTTCAAATATGTATTTTTTACGACTTAAAATGTTTTTGAGAAAATAAATTGTTTTAGAAGTAAAGAGTTTCGTCATGTTTAGTTTATAGAGGCATATTTTGGTACAAATCTTCAAGTGGGCCAACGGATTTATCTAAAACCACTGAATAAAAGAAAAAACGCCGGGACACGTCAAACGATTTTTAACTTTTTAACCAAAAACTACTTCACCCGCTTTCACCCTCTGCCCCCAGGATCATCCCCTTTAAAATTTAAAATAACAAGGGGTATCGAGTAATAGCTTGTTTGAAAGGTCTGATTTTTTTTAAATCGGTGAATTATTCATTTTCAAGAAAATTAGAAAATTCTTTATTTATCTTAATTTGTTCAGATAGAAAACAAAAATACACTTTTTATTTCAATAAGTGCTCAAAATGTTGCCCGTTATTGGCTAAACAATGATATAGACGATGTTCAAATTCCTGACGGACATTTTCAAAAGCATGTTGTGGGATATCATGGCAGCTCGATGATGCGTTGACGAAGTTCATTCAAACTTTCAGGTTGCGGAGTAAGCACAATAGATTTCAAATGATTCCATAGAAAAAAGTTTAGTGGCGTCAAATCAGGAGATCTAGCAGGCTATTCTATAGGCCCTCTTAGTGCCCACATAGTCAGGAGGAGCGCCGTCTTGCTGGAAATATATTTTTGCCTCATCAAGTATAGGGTATACATCATCTTCGATTTGGTTTTCAATGGTTTCAGTGATAAGCGGATTGATGGTATTTTCCAACACATCCAAATAAATGTCTCCATTCAAATTTCCAATGACCCAGTCACTTTGTTTCCTAAAATGCCGGCCCATACATCAATTTTTTTTGGGGTACTGGGTATGCCCTTCTACAAAAGCATGAGGATTTTCATTGCTCCAATTCCTGCAGTTACGCTTATTAACAAATCCATTTAGATAAAATGTGCATTCATCACTGAAGCAGATATTCTTTACATGAATGGTATTATCATTATTCGCTGCAGTCATTTGTTCACAAAACTCAACTCGCCTATCGAAATCATCTTCGGTTAACTCTTGCAATTTTTTCATTTTGAATGGATGAAATTTATGGAGTTTAGTAACTCTTTGTACAGAGCCTAATGAAATACCAGTTGCAGCAACAATCTTACATAATACATAATACATAAGTATTAGGATTTATTCCAAAATGACCCAAAACTTCAACTTGAGCGGCTTCATCCAAAACTCTCCGTTGATCACGTTTTTTATTTGCAACAGACCCAGCTTAAGTAAAACATACCTATGCGAAGTTATCTTTCCCGGATGTCTGACGTTCAACGTGATGGCACTTTGCCAAGCAAATTGATTTTGGGCTCCATAAATTTCCACTCTTTTTGCTAGTGTGTAAACCATTTTGGATGTAAAACCTGAATCAATAAATTAGTTTTCACTATCCCAAGATTATCACAAAAGTAACTGACAGCCAATTAAATTATTTCTTTTCCTTAGCAACAAATAACTAAACAGGTATAACAATAAATACAGTTCGCCCAGGATATCTGTGTTGATGAAAAGAATGCGGAAAATTCGGGTTGTTATTGGGTTGTTGCCACGTCTAATCTTCCGAATTGCTGTTTATGTTGATAGTTTCCTTTTTAAATTATAAAGAATTGTAGATTTGGAAAACCCTAACGGGCAACATTTTGAGCACTTGAAATGAAAGGTGATATTTTCGTGTGTTTTTGTTTTCTATCTGAACAAATTACGATAAATAAAGGTTTTTCTAATTTTCTCAAAAACGAATCGACTGATTCTAAATCAAACGTCAAAAAGGACTTCGAAAGACCTTTCAAACAACATATTACGCGATACCCCTTGTCATTTAAAATGTTTAAGGGAATGATCCTGGGGACCGAGGGTGAGAGGGGTGAAGTAGTTTTTGGTTAAAAAGTTGTCTCCCTTGACAAAACTTTTGATGTGGCTCGGTGTTTTTTCTTTTGATCAGTGGTTTTCGATAAATCCGGGGTTTTCAAATGAACACCCTGTATAATAACGGTACAGGAAAGAAATGACATTCAATCCAAATCGAAATACATGTCATTATATCGCTTTTTATTAATAAAAATTTGTATCAAAAGCAAACAGACAACCAACTGATTTGTTGTGTTTGCCTAAAAAATTACTAAACTCAATTCAAGTTTCACCTTCAAATTCAGAACACCTTGCCAAGTGTTAGATTTGAGAAAGGCGGTGTAACCGGGCATATAAAAGCAACTTACGCTACAGTGACGTTGACGTTTCCTTTGTTAGTCATGCAGTATTCTACATTGTGTTCTTTTCGGCCTGTCATCTCACCTAAGTTTACTTCCTTTTCACATTCGATGATATACAGTTGAGATTCCCCGAATATTGTTATAGCGACTCTTTCAAATGGTTCCGTATCCGATAGCAATTTATCGTATAGCTAAAATAGTAATTTTTATTGTTAGTCTACTGTACTTTGACACTGATAGATTGATATGTCCGAGAATTTCTTATAACAGATATGATCAGCTTGGTAGACAAGCTAGATACAGAATGTAAACATTGTTTCTTACCTCAAGATCAAGTTGTCTTTTATTATAGACTTCTTCTTCTTGTGGCGTAAGCGATATTGTAATATGACCAACAGAATACGGTTGTATCGATCCTTCCTTTTTCTTCACGTGAAACTTTTCTGTGATTTGTTTCATGGTACAAAGCTTGTAGTGAAAGTCTATCGGTGTGGAATTCGTAAGCGTTATTTTCTTTTTACATGTACTACCCACTGGAACCTGGGGAGGAAACCCGCATGTTGATTAATAAAAAGTCGCAATCACAGTTCCGACCAAAATATTTACACTGTTCAGGTAGCCGCCATTTTCTAACGCATTTTGATATCATGGTTTGTCGGTTGAAAGCACGCGAGATACTACATAGAATATTTTTTTGCAACGGTAGAAATATGACCGAGTATAAAGATTAGTGCAAGCCATTGATAGCATTCCAATCACCATTAAAGGATACCAATTATAGTCAGAAACTTGCTGATAACTAAATCATGATATGACAAGCAGACCTTCTTGCCTACTAAAATCAATCTTTATAATACAGCTCTTATGTTTTGGTTCGTGATACTATTGAAGTACAGGGTGGCTAATATATAACTGACTGATTTAAAGTCCCATTTTTGATACACGGATTTTAGTAGTTGTTTAAAGCACATTGTGTTTAATTCATCATTGAGCGCTATACGATCACACAACGCGTCCGTATTGTTAAAACGTTTTACTTAAAATAAATAATGAGTCGATTGTTGTAACGATTCGGAAGCTACGACAAGATGTCAGTCGAAATAATGTACCCAGTGTCAACACCATCCGTCAGTTGGTGCTGAAATTTGAACAGACAGGTGAAGTTAAAGACTTGCCAAGGTCGGGCCATGTTCGAACTGTTCGTACTCAGGAAAATATCGAGAGAGGTCGTGAAAGTTTAGTGGAGCATCCTGAGATGTCTACTAGACATCGTTCTCAAGAACTGGGTATGCGTTCCACGTCATTATGTACTATTTTAAAAAAAGGCTTTCATTTGCGGCCATACAAAATTCAGTTAACCCAAGAACTACAACCTAGTGATCATGAAAGTCGCCGACAATACAGTTATGCAATATTGCAGGGTTAATGCCCAAAATAACGATTTTTACCGACAACTGATAGTGAGCGACCAAGCCTACTTCGATTTGAACGGATTTGTTAATAAACAAAACTGTCATATCTAGGCTATACTTCCTCTAGTAGAATAATTGTAGCACTCATTGTTCAATACAATAAAATGTTCTAAGTGATTAGGTAGAAGATGATTTTTCAACTTGAATATGAAAATGAAAACCAAGTAGGCTATGAAATTTTTGATATTTAACCATTGTAGTTCTTTCAGCTTAAAATTAATTCTAGTATATTTATTTTTATTTAAGATGATTATCATAGCTTTATTTTGTGATATTTGTAATTTTAAAAATACAGTTTCATTTTCAGTGAACAAAATATAACAAATTAATGAGGAAGAATGATAGTGTTGTACACAATTTTTTTAGAATAAACGCTAAGGCTATGCCAAATTCTATAAAAGTAATTTATTTACTTGGATATTTTTTAAATATTATTATCCGATATTATTTTTTATACATAATTTCAATAAAAGATTAAGATGAATAAAATGGACGTATTTTATTTCATTTCACAAAGATTCAACATACAAGCCAGTCAGTTACATTATCGGCCACCCTGTATATGGAAGCTGGCGACCGTTTTGGTGGTGTCGCCATTTTTAAAGCATAGCCACACCATCGTCTACCTATGTGGCGTCTGGCCACCTCTGGCTACGCAACTTCTTTTAAATTGCTTCTCAATGAGTCATGTCAGTGAGACATTTGTATAGTATGTTATCGGTGTCATCGAACATTTGATATTTATCTGTTGCTTTTACTCTTTTAGTAAAAATCCGGTATATCAGAGATGAAGAGATGCACCTAAAGTTTCTTTTTCGTCTTTTCTTCTGTCTTTTTCGCCGTAGATAATGAATTATCGCGATATCTTCCAATTCCATAATGGAACGGCGAAAATAAGGTTATCACACTGTCACTGTCACCTGACAAGCAAACAATGCGACTGGCTACTCGATCTGGCGACTTTCGTTTCCAGAAGTAGATATGGCTACATTATTGGCGTCGTCATCATCGCATGCCTGTCAGGGTGGACTCTTAATCTTTGGGCTTACCTTTTCGAAGTTCAGTATCTTTGGGCTCACATTGAAATCCGCGGGGGTGGGTAAAGCCCTTAAGCTTATCACTTCTACTTTCGGATTATTCTTGGTCAAAATGTATAATTGTGACACGATAACGTCCTTCTTTTTTGATGCTGGTTGCAGGAATAAGTTCACATAACCTTTATTATTTGCGGGTATGCTGAGATTGTTTGGTTCGCAATAGAATAGAGTTTCGCCGGGAACTTCCACAGAAATGTCACAAGGCATTGAAGACTCATTCACCAGGTTCAGCTTGACTCCGTACGTGATGTCTCTAAATATTCATATATTTTAGTTGGACACTTCATCAATTTTTACATAAGGGATGTCCCAACAATCTTGAAGGTATCAAGTTTGTTTATATTGTCATAATGTAGAAATATGGAAATTACGCTGTACAATAAATATTCTGTAACCGCCCCCCTCAGCTGTTCAATAAGAATTGTACCAAATTAAAATCCGGAAGTACCCTTTATAATAAAGGAAGAATCAATACTTTGTCTTTGTCCAAGTGAGCCCCTTACTGGTGACGTACTGTAATCTCCATATGGTAAATAAATAATAAATAATGACTTATCTTGTCCGTTTCAAGTCAAAAGTCTGAGCGAAAAGAAATAAAATATTGTTAAGTGCCAATATATCAGTATAATGGCATAAGATACTTGAAACCTCAAACAAAGAATGTGTAAAGGCAGCTCTAACTACCTTTTCATATTCAAATTTAAGCTGCTAGAAAATAAAGTTGCTAGCTAAGATACCTACTTTTTACTACTGCCATCTAACACATATCCAAAATCAAATACGTTGTCATCTATAGTGTAAACTTGTCGATCGCTTAGTTCTTTTGCTGCACTACTTGACATTACAGATGGAAACACTTTCTCTGGATTAAAATCCAGTTGAGGCAATTCGCTGCTTGCCTCGCATGTTACACTGTGCGTTATGTTTGTTCCAACTACATTTAACAGATACTCATATCTAAAAATGAACCATCATTATATGTGCGAATTCCTTATACAATACTGGCCGTAGACATTTTCCCTGGTCGATGTCAATGTGTGCGATAGCATGTTACAAAGAGTGCATCAAACAGCATTCCGCGATGTTCACCACTGTCTTTGCCAAGCAACATGGTGACTACACTTGTTTGGAGCATTCTTCCTAATATATCGGTTGCACGTTTTTCTTCCTCAACCAGAAAAAAAGTCAGTGGCAAGCATTGTGTACAACGCCTGATTTGCAGGAAAAATATCAAGATCTATTGATCTTGGTCTCTATGATCAGCCATTACTTTGCTCATTCCAATACGTTCTCGATTGCGTATTGTGGACTATAATGAATAGATCTTCAGATCACAGATAAGCCAGAAATGCAGGGTCGCCAGCGCTATGTCAGATTTAAAATATAAATAACGAAAGGCCCAAATAATTAACCCTGAGGAATACCCACCACTCTCTTCGGGCATTTACATCGATTTAACAGTGCAGATCAACTTGGTTCATCGGTTCTTGTAATATATATAAATGGTGAATAAGAATAATAATAAAGTGAATCATAAGAAAAGCTAGATCTAGCAGCTTACCTGTACATACCACACGACGGAGGACAAAAGCTTACATCGTACCTCTTGCACTCACCAGGTAATAATATTTGTCTTGGCACAAGAGGCATTGTTTCTAAGGCTTCAACCACTAAAAATTAAAATTCACCTTAAAACGTTGGGCTTCACGTTTTCCAATGCCTTGTCATCGACCCTGAACCTGTTCTGGAAGTTGACCTGTTATACAGGGTGATTCACAAGTCGTGACCAAAAATGCAACATCATACACAATACCGCATTTCAAGGGGGGCCCTGTATGTCACATTTTTTCCTCAATTGCTTCATTAAAAAGATAGATATCTTTAAAACCGTCGACTGGAGTGAACTAAAAGTTGGTATTGTCCACATTCAAAAGTCCTTACTTAAAATTATTGTGAACCAGGGGATTATTTTACCAAATAAAAATAGTACGCCACTGTTTTTTTTTGATATGCGCAATTTTTCAAAAGCTAAGTTTGAGTTTGCATTTAAAAGTTTTGGCAATACGTGCATAAACAGTTGGCCATTGAAAATGCCGCACCAGACATTCTTAGAACATCTGTGTCGAAACGAGTGAATTCTTACAGAACGGGGATTTTCTAACGACCAAAAATGTTCATTATGAGAAGTAAAGATACCACTCCTCGTACAAAGCGATTCATCTGACCACAAAGCCTAATCAATAAAATCTTCATTTTGATTACGAATTTGCAGTAACCTCTCACAAAAATTTCGCCGTTGCACTTCGTCGCCGGGTTGCAAAAATTTTGCCGATGGTAAGGATGTTAAACTTCCCGATTTAAAATTCTCCACGCAAGACTTTGGGAACATGGTAACTGGACTGCAATCCGCCTAGTACTTGTACTAGGATCATCCAACGTCAAATTGATCACCTCCAGTTCCTCTTGAACCCTGACACCATGGCCTCTAACTCCGGGAAGTTTGGCAATTTCATATTGCCGAAGTCTTAGAAATGAATGCGTAAGAACCTTTGGTGTAGCTTGGCGTCTGATAGGAAATCTACGTTGATCCTCCCAAGAAGTCGCTAAGCATTTCCATTACAGAATCCGTACACAAAAATATTATCGGCCTACTCATCATTGCTAAATTCCGTTTCACAACACTCAAAAATGGAAAGAAGAAACGACTTGACTTTTACAAAAAAAAAAATGGTAGTAATAACGATAACAACCGTATAACACATAACTCTGACAAACTGTCTCCCAAGAAACGTCAAGTTGGTACCAAGGACTCCTATTTTATTTTGAAACTAATTGTATCTCGGCTCTTCATGAATGAGCTAATATGTTTTATTTTTACTAAAACTACTGCTAGGAAAAAACACAAGAGTAATTATTTGTAGCAAATTAAAGGTGAAATTCGAGAAATTGTACGATTCAAAAAAATAGTGGCGTACTATTTTTATTTGGAAAAAATGCCACTAATCCCCTGTATCTCCGCCACTGGTACACGTTAGTTTTAAGTAGGGACTTACCAAATCCACATACCAAATTTTAGTTCATTCCAGTTGATAGTTTTGAAGATACTAAGATTTTTTTTTTATTTTTAAACTCCAATACCCTGTATCTTTTTAATGAAGCCCTCGGGGAAAAAAATGTTACATACTATACAAGACCCCTCTTAAAATGCGGTCCTGTGTATGATGTTTCATTTTTGGTCACGACTTGTGAATCACCCTGTATGTGACTATGACTTTGGTTTCGAGGTTATAATCAGATTTCAAGGTCAATTCTTCATACGACAACTTACTATCTTGAGTGACCTAAACCATTTTGAATAGTTTGATTCAAAGGTTTGTGGGTTTCAAAGAAGTCAACAGCATTATAAGCTAGGTCTTTACCAGATCATGTTTGTGTAATAAGGTAAAATATCCTAAACACTCACCTGATAATCTCGAGGAGGCAGCCGATACAGCTGAACTCTTTCTATCAAAAGATTTTCTCTTGTTCCTTTTACGTCGTTTCTTTTCACGATCGAAGGTACCTGACAATTGTGAACTGCGTGATCGACTCTACAAGTCAAACAGCTTTCAATATCAAAAATAGTTTTTAGGAAGGATTTTGCCAGCGGCGGCTAACTCGATCATGCTGCATGGAGTCCGTATCACTTAACAAGATCTTCAGGAAAAATAAGTATCGAGCTAATGCTAAGAATCCAGCGAAAAACAGTGCAGCGCGTGGCCTGCCCTTACAGAATGGTGTCAGACTGATATTCCTAATCAACTACTCGAATATGGTAGATGGGTTGACTACCAGAGAGGTTAGGGAAAATTAAACCAATAGTGAGGCGAATGATGCTGATCAAGGTGCAGGAGGACAAAAATAGACCAAGGAAGCAACAGCTTTCTATTTGCTGAGTTGTGGATGCACATAAGAACGTATGGTATCGTCCCTCGTAAACTAGAACTTTGTGAGACGCTCTCATAGATCGGCTACGCAACCACGCATCGGGAGGGTTCGCGGCACCATCAAGGATGTTCGACAAACATCCAGGGCCTTCAGCCCACATCGCGAAGCATTGTTCGACATCTAGATAACATCGATGAAACGCCAGAAGGCGTGACCAGGGAAGTACAAAAGGCTGGAACGCATGAAAGCTTTGCGATGCCGAAGCTGGAATTTGAGCGAGGTGGACTGTATTGGAGGACCGTACCAAATAAACTAGAAGTGCTGCTTCTACAGAATATTGCACCAAGGGACCTACCTTCCGATATCGATCCGATATCCAGGGGATCCGTTTCGGGGCGAAACGGCCTTGAGGAGGGGGTAGTGTAGTGCCCTCATAAACTAGAACTCTGTGAGACGCCCTCGTAGATCAGCTACGCGACCATGCATATACATACATCGAAGATGTTCAGTCCACATCGAGGAGCATCGATCGACATTCAGATATCATCGATGAAGCGCTGGAAGGGTCGTTTTGTCGTGACCAGGGAAGTACAAGAAAACTTGTTTTCCCTGCCTTGTGATACCAGCTGACATACTGCGTAGCCGAGGATCTGAACACCTCAAGGGACGTGGCTTCCCTGTTGCAGAAGAAGCTTGGATTACACCGGAAGTTCCAAGAGTAACAGCCGCAGGCTGGGAAGGCGCTGTGTGTTCTGGATACTCGCCGATTTGTCTACACGCTGGTCACCAGGGTAGCTCATCATTAGCCGCCGACCAATCAAGCAATGTGCGAAGTCCAGAGAGACCTACGACAACACCTGATGGTCTAGAATGCCTGAAAGCTGGTGATGCTGAAGCTGGAATGTGAGGGGACTGAATTGGATAACCGTTTGCAGCGACGCCTTCCTGCGGAGAGGAGTCCCAGGAGAAGACGGTGCCATGTCTCTTCTACATATCATCAAGGGACCTACCTGCCGATATCGCCGGAATCCATGGGACCCGGCTACATCAAGAACGTTCGACACACATCGAGAAGCATCGATCGATATCTAGATTAGATCGACGAGCGTTGGAAGGCTTGTTTTGGCGTGGCCAGGGAAGCACAAGATGACTTGTTTCCGCTGATTTGAGAATACTTGCTGGCATTCTGCGAAGCCGAGAACTTAAAAACATCATGAGGCGTAGTTTATCTGTTCCAGCAGGAGTTTCGATGACATCGGAGGTTCTAAGAGCAGCAGCCGCAGGTTGAGAAGGTGCTATGTGTCCTGGATAGACGCTGATTCGTCTACGCGGTGGTATGGAACGCCTGGAAGCTGGCGATGCCGAAGCTTGAATGTGAGCGAGAAAGACAGGAACATAATGGAGGTACCATGCATCTTCATCAGAACGTCCAGGTGCACCAATGGACCTTCCTGCCATTTCTGGACGAAACGGTCCTAAGGAGGGAGTAGTTCGTAGCGCACTAGTAAACTAGGACTTTGTGTGGCGCCCTTGTACGTCGGCTACGCGACCACGCATGGGAAGGGTTCGCGGCTACATCAAGAACATCGATACACATTGAGGGCGTTCGGCCCACATCGAAAAGCATTAATCGAGATCTAGGTAACTCCAATGAGGCGCTAGAATGCTCTGGAATGGTCAATTTGAACATATATGAACAGCTGAAGCAACAAACTATAGTCCAGTCGACATGGTTATACATTTTTCATAAATTATCTGCAAATGTTGCTATAAATTAGTGTAAGGGTAATAAATTCGACTTTGAATGACAAAAACGGTATTTTCGTTACAATATGTATATGGACGAAGTTGAAAATAAGATAAATAAATACCTTTGGTGTGAAAACTCAGCACAACGCTACCCACCATAACGAAATGCTGTAAGCATTACCGTGGTGGGATGTGCAACGAACGACTGAGGGACTTTAGGTTTCAGGAAAGGCCGACAGGACAATACTGTCGAGCTTTTCTGAGAGGAAAAGAAAAAAAGATTTTAAGTCTGAGCGGCACATTATTTTATGAAGATAATATGTTGAGTTATTAAGATGTATGCTTATATACGTGTGCATCGATCTCAGCGTACTCAACGACACACCTTGTTAACAGTGTTTCTACTTGACTATACTTACAGAGGCGTTCGTTTCATCCATAACGTAATTGCATATATAAAATGCATCTGCTTTATGCTTATGATGTTTACTGCGTTCCTGTATGACTGAAAACAGATCATCTGATGGAAGGCTAAATAGACATTCTGACAATCTTTCTTTTTCGGCTCTGTATTTTTCCATATACGCGTCTTTCGCAAGGACTTCTGCTACAACTTCTGGAAAATCGATGGATTTCTTCGGAGCACTGTCGTCAATTATCCACAACAAACAACCTTGAAACCATAACGTTAGAAATTATTGAAAAAGTAGACTTTAAAACTCCGTTATTTCCGTTTTGAGGTTAGAAGAACCAAAATGTTGCTGGATATAACAAATCAAATTATGTTGAGGCAAACTCTTTTAGTTCTTGTATACAGGTGTTAATGAAGTACGTTGCCAAAGTTCAAGTAGGTGATTGTAATAAGAAGTAACATCATACCATAGTATTTATTGTCCGCATTATATATATATATATATATATATATATATATATATATATAATCTAGGTACATGTGAGGTCTTAAAAACTATTTCATATATATATATATATATATATATATATATATATATATGTAAGTCCTATGTTGATGCTTTGAAATAGTTTTTAAGACCTCACATGTACCTAGATTATATATATATATATATATATATATATAGGTGAAAAATTAAAGCTTCCGCCTTTTGTTGGGTACTTCGACAAAATTTAAGCAAAGAGGATTCTTTATACTTTTTTTAATTCTCTCTAGCTTTCAATGGACTTTGCCATCATCATCAGGAGCTGCAATTATAATGATAACAGTAGCAACAAAAGTGTAAAATGAATTTAAATTGAATTAACTTACAGTAGTATGTGAGGATGTTGCTAATTATTGTTTTCGTATAGGATGAGGGAAACGTCCAGTAACATGGTGAGAGCTGGATACATGGTACAATGGTTAAAATTATATAAAATATGACAAGACAAGTTAAAGACAGATTAAAAATTATTCAGAAAACATTAGAGCATTACGTCGTGAAGCCACTTGATGATTGCACAAAATGGTGGTCATGGAATAATGAGTGAGATGAACCTTTGATAGAAGGCCGAAGGTTGTCAATGTCTGTGTTGAAAGATGGAACGAATTGTGGGCGTGTGCCAAAACGTTGCCAAATCACTTCAGATGATGTGATTTTCAGAATGTTATGTAAGAAATTGTTAAACCGACCAGAGGCAGTTGAATAAACTATATTTTAATTGATGGGAATTTTAAATTAATAATTATTAATAAATCGTGAGAAGAGAATTATTAGATTTTGAGTGGAATGAAATTTTTGTGCAGTCCTTTGAACTTTCGAATTGCTTGCAAATCCGTCCTCACTATAAACCGCATTTTTTCAAAAATGAAAGACAAAGTCCCGCTGCTTGGCTTAATATTTGTTGACTTTTGATGTGGTTTCCGCACGTTGATTCATAACTGGAATTTGTAATTATCTTCAGAACCGTTTTTTGGAACATGCCTACGTACACTACCCGCAAAATATGGTTATCGCAGCATCTACTAAGCTGTCTAAGAGCAAATAATTGTGTGAATAGTCTAGAATGTAAATAATCGATATGGGATGTCCAGTTTAGTCTTATATTGAGCGCTATTTCTAGAAGTTTTCCAGGTTCAGATTTCACAGCTCACCTCTCAGAGAAAAATGTGATATACTTCTCGCTGTCATGCTTCGTTTTGAAAATATATGGTGTCAAACCGTTTTTAAATGCTGCAGATTTTGTTAAAATTTATTGAAAATCGGTACCTACGTGGATCGCTAGATTTAAATCCGGCAAATGTTTTCCTTTGAAAGGTTTGGGTTTCAACTCAACGAAACTGGTTGAAAACTTATCGAGGTACTTACGAAAAATCATTTTTCGATATTTCGATTTAGATTCACTTAATGAACCACTCCCTGAAATGGGACCAGATACTTTATTAACACCTCGTATAATTCTGAATGAGTTTTCATATGTATGATTTTCCATTTGTTTGAATCTGCATCACTAAATCTGTATTTTTTCTTTGTCCAGGACACTCACCCACACCTTTGTTGCTAGTTGACAATTTTTCGGAACTAATTTGTTTTGTCCTCCTAGAAGATGGTTTCGAATCTTTAGTAGAGTCCTTGGGTGAGCTATCCTTTGCTTTTTTCTTGTTCGTTACATATGGCTGGAAGTTCAATTATGTATTTTTGTTAAGATCATGAGAAATTGTTATAAATCAATATTTACATTTACTGGTAATCAACTCAAAATCACTTTTATATTCGATATTTACGCTCAAATGCATTGGCCATTGGCGCTCCTCATTATTTTGGGAACGCCTCATTAGTCTTGTCACCTGGTAGCGATAAGAGAGTAGTCAAACATCAACGAAGGCGGTCTTTTCGATCTAGGTTCTTATTCCGTCTGATTATCAATTTTATTAGTTTGACCTTTGAATCACCTCGGCCTAAGTAAGGCCTTTTCCTCCATCAAGAAAGATATTTGACATCTGTCCAGTCGCCAGTCATGGATATTGACGTGTACACTTTGTCTACATTTCGATGTAGACAAGGTGTAGATAATCTATTATACAGGGTGTTCCTTAATGATATGCGAATATTTAAGGGTGTGAATCTACATGAAAAATTAATGTTAGTTTGAATGAATGTTGAAGTGTTAGGAAAAAGATGGAAATTGATTAATATTTTCAGAACCGCTTCAGATATTTAAAATTAATTAAGATATTTCACTGATATTTAGTACGTAGTGAAAGTTAATAAAGTTGCATATTTTTCCATGCAAAAAATAATTTTTAGCTTTAACAGTGGCGTGCGTACTGGTATTGAGTTCGATATTTTTTAAGAAAAAAAATGGTACGCCAATGGTTTTTTGCCAAATAAAAATCTCTCTTTAATTCCCGTTCAATTTAAAACAAATAATCTCTCTTGAATTGTTTTCTTTCGATGCGCCATTTTTGAGTAAAAAAAATAAAAACAGTTCTATTGTCTAACTTGCAAAATTATTATTAATTTAATTGTAAAAATAAACACATTAGGGGTAATAAACAACAACAACTGACAACATAAACATAACATTAAAACCAACGAAATGATTACAAAAATTGTTGAAAATGGCCTCATTCACTTAGTATGCATGCTTCCGCCCTCCTTCTCATGGAATTGCGCACTCGTTTAAATATCCCTGGAGTGTTTTTTATTCTATCACAAGCTGCAACTATTCTTTCTCTTAATTCCTCTACAGTGTTAATGAGACTTGTGTACACTAGTGTGTTAAGATAACCCCACAAAAAGAAATATAAACTGTTGAGGTCTGGGGACCTTGGTGGCCATTCTTGGGCCCACCGCGGCCAATCCAACGATTTGGATAAACAGTTTCTAAATAATTACGAACCGCGACACTGAAATGCGCTGGTGCACCATCATGCATGTACCACATATTGTTTCTTATTACTAACGGAACATCATCAAGCAGCAAAGGCAACTGTTGTTGAAGAAAATTGAGGTAAGTCTGTCCGTCAAGTCGTCCCGCCAAAAAGAATGGGTCAATAAAGTGGTTGCCAATAATTCCTGCCCATACGTTAATCGAAAACTGGTGTTGGAAATGAGTTTCGGTTACAGCATAGGGATTTTCTTCTGCCCACAAATGATTATTGTGGAAATTCTGAATGACATTTCGAGAAAAATTAGCTTTGTCCGTGAACAGAATCATTGATTCAAATTGCGGATTTTGTGTAATTTTTTGAAGATACCACTGACAAAAGGTCACATGCCTTGTAAAATCAATAGGAAGTAATGCTTGTACTCTTAAAATATGGTAAGGATATAACAAAAAATCCACTAAAATTCTCCATACAATTTGATTTTCAAATATTTAAGTGTCTAGCGATCTTCCTTGTACTCGTTTCAGGATGTTCTTCACAGCGAACAGATTTGAATACTAGAGACTTGTCAGATATCAAAAGCCAGTCACATATTCCAGAGCAACTAGATATTTATTGCTAAATTGTATTCTTCAATTATTACATTAATTTTCTCGGACAATATAACGGTTTTTATTTTTTTACTCAAAAATGGCGCATAGAAGGAAAACAATTCAAGAGAGATCATTTGTTTTAAATTAAACGGGGAATTTAAAAATTATTTTTATTTGGCAAAAAACTATTGGCGTACTATTTTTTTCTTAAAAAATATCGAACTCAACACCCGTACGCACGCCACTGTTAAAGCTAAAAATCATTTTTGCTGTGAAAAATATGCAATTTTATTAACTTTCACTACGTACTAAATATCAGTGAAATATCTGAAGGGGTTCTGAAAACATTAATTAATTTCCATCTTTTTCCTAAAACTTCAACACCCCGAGTTTTTGTAAGGAAACATTTTTGGACCATAGTTTATAAAGCAAATTAACATTAATTTTTCAAGTAGATTCGCATCCTTAAATATTCGCAATCATTAAGGAACACCCTGTTATACAATATATACAATCTAAACAAGTGACACACATCGCTGCCTGTCACGGCATGTGTCAACACTGTTAAGGCAAATAAGGAACCCTTGCAATAAGGAGGCTTCAAAGAAATGACTTTGCGGCTCTTAGTTAAGTCTTACCACTGTTAAAAAGCTTCGTGTTTTGTCCCAAAATTCGCAGACGTGAATAAGTTCGGCCATTAAATCCTCGTACACATCTAACTGTACTTTGAAACTTTTTGGTAACTCCTTCATTATCTCTAAAAAATAATAGAAAAATACGGACTCGGGTATGTCAATAAGACAGTATCTGAATTTAGGCGAATAAATTATTACCGATATAGTTCTGATGGTTGCTTAGATATTAAGGTAGTCACGGTGCTCCGGTATTTAGGTTCCTACCAACGCGGCTGCTCAATATACCGGGTGTTTCAATTTCGATATTACCATTTAGGATTTCGGAAACGGTAAGATATGGGAAGTCACGTAACTGGGTTGTGCAATTAGGTAGCTGAGAAAATCGCGCTCAGAAAGTTTCGGAATTCCAATATTTCCGGAGATAGATAAAGGAAACCGAATTTTCTCAAAATCGTTTTTATTTTTTCCTCACTTTGTTTGAGATGTGATTTCAAATAAAAATGTAATTCAACATTGTCACTGTTTTCTCCTCTCCTCCTTTATAAAGCAACTATGACACTATTAGTTTTTTCGAAATAACTTAGGTTTGACAATGTCAATGTATGGCATATTTTATACATTTTTTGAATTCGTATTATTATTAATTTAGAGAAAAAAAGCGACAATGTTAATGTACTTTTTATATTTTGAAAACAAATAAAGCCAAGAAAAAAATAAAGATTTCGGGAAAATCGGATTCTTTCCGGAAATACTCTGAATTGCGAAACTTTCTTAGAAATCTAAATGCACTACTTTAACCTAAAAGAGAAGAAAATGAACTTAATACTTACGTTTTGTATAGTTTACTGCTTTCTCTTTCTTTTTAGATTTGCTGCTTTTCTCACTACTCTTCACACTGCTTTTTCCGTCTTTCGTACTTTTCGATTCAGAAACAGCTGTATCAAGAGTTCTAGTGGTTGCTTTTTTTAACGGGTCAGAGACTGTTTGCTCTATTTGGAACAATAAAAATATAAAAATGTCATGCAAGTCTTTGGTTTATATTGCGAAACACCTTGGTGTTGCGAGGATATCCACAACTTTGGTCTCGCTGCTGGCACGTCTATCAGTTACGATTTACGCCATGTAACCGTTTACGAAGTTTTGCAAAAATTCTCAATTTTTGCGAAAGTCGTTTACTTTGAAAAATATTCTAATAGGCACAGTACAAGGCGTTCCCAACACTTGGTTTAAAAATTCGGGAGGTGAGTCTTTGGAAAGTTCCAAGATTATTGTCCACTGATGATACAAGACGTTCAAAATTTTCAAAAGTAACAGTTTTGCCTTAGGGCCTCTTCTACTACTAGTATATCCAGGTACAAAATGTAAAGCACAGAGCACAGATTTTCTCGTGGACCAAAGAACCCTTTTTGATACACCATAATCGTGTATTCGAGTTTCATCCAAAATTCAACTTTTCACTTTTGATAAAAAAATGGCGTCAAGTAGGTTAACTGTACACTTCCTACTCAACGCTGTCATCAGTTCTTAAAAGATTAGATTTGTACAAGTTAGTCATGTATAACAAAGAAATGACATGGATCATGCCAGTCAAACAGGCTCATACAATTAGTCCAACAGATTTGACAACATTGAAAGGACAAGTATACGGGGAAATCTATGATGTATGAAATATGTCTAATTACCGGAGTTTCAAACATATAATTTGCTAGCACCAAAAAATTTACATATACTTTCTACAAAACATTGAGGTGACAATACAATTAGGCTTATAATTATTCAAATATGTGGGTATATATATATGTATAGTTAATTAACGTTTCACGAGCATTATGGATACACTATTTCAAAAAAATCAAAAATGATAAATTACTTCTACAGAGTTTGCCATAATCTTAGTATGTATACCAAAAAAATGTGTATAGCACTATAATTCCTCCCCATTTTTTATATTGTTCAACGATCTTGTTTACAGCAAATGAAAGCATATTTTCAAAATTAAAAATTCTACTAAATGAAGCTATGAGGATCATTCTAAATCAAAACAAATATGCTAGGATTAAGTTTATGTTAGAAGAACTACAGTGATTGAATGTGAAGAAGTGCATATGTTATTTAGTTCTAATTTTCATATTCAAATTAAAAAAATAATCTATTATCACCACAATTAGAAAACCTCACAAAATTAAAGTCATCATCACTGCGAATCTAGAGGCATTATTGATTTCCATCTGCAAAATTGTGCTAGTAACATAACTATCAAATATGTATTTCAAAAAAGAGTATTTGAATTTAATAAATTAAATAATGATATTAAACAGAGTTCGAATTTAAAAATGTTAAGATGAAATTGAAAAATCACTTGATGAATACTCAAAATGCATAGTGATTTAATTTTGATAGACAAGAATGTAAAATTACAGAAAATGAATTACAGAAAAATGTGTAAGTGAATATTTATACCAAATTGGCATCGTAGCATTAATGCTAAATACACAAAAAAACCTATAACCCTCAGCATCCAATTCTTAACCCCTGCAAATTTTTTTTTTGAAAATGGTGCAGATCCTCTGAAAGGTCAAAAAAAGTTTGTGTGATATTTATTCTCTTTTACGTTTTTTGTCTGTAGCTCCGTCGCCACTGGACCGATTTCCAAAAACTACAAAGTCAGACAGGCCGATGGAAATGAGTGACTTGGTTTTTCACGATGTTCAAGTCATAAAACATCCAAAAACTATATCATTTTCAAAATTTTTCGCGATTGCAGTAACGCTTCGCCAGTAGCGTAGGAAGTAAAAATTGTATATTCGGAACAAAGTGATGAAATGGTGAAAAATAGTCTGATGTAGCCCAAACAATTGCCCGTTAAATTTACGATCCATGTGTTTGACATGCATAAAATATTTTTACATTGAAACAAATTCATGTACCTGCTTCTGCCAGTTGCTTCTTCTTTACTTCATCAATTGCTCGAAGTTCGGCATCTCTGCGAGCTACGTAATCTTTGAGAATGTAGTTCATTAAAACAAGCTGGATGAATCCAACATCGCCTATAGCTTGCAGTAAGCAGTAAAATGTATCGCTGCATCCTTTAATGAACATATTTTCTAGACCTGCTATAACCATCTCATCAAATCTATGTAGAACAGAAGAATTTCAATCTATAGTGTGTCCCATTTTAATCGCCCCACTAAATATTTAAAAAATCCCAGTAATTTCTCATCTGATAGATATTGATTTAGCTTGTGGAGAACCCTGTACATAAATAATTCAATTTTTACAAAACATGTTCTCTCCATTTAATTTTTGCTGAGCTAGGCCCCCTGGTACGCCCTTGGTTTCCAGGGGGAAGATTTTTTTTTATACTCCAACTACCACGAAGGCCTAAGGCCTAAGCACCCATTGGGTACCGTGGGGCTATAGGGGGATACATGACAAGAGAAAAATTTCTCCTGGGACGGGACTCGAACCCGCACAGCGCACGGCAACTGATCAGGAGACCGAAGAGTCTACTACTGCGGCCACCGCTGCTGCCTGGGATGATGTCAACTTGATTATGACCTTCAAGGTTATGGTTATTTCAAGGTCAAGCGAATATTTTCATATGGAGCCCTACTTTTTTATACCGGGAACGGAAAGAGAAGGAAATTCTACGTCCGAATATGACTTCGATCATAAACATAAGTATGGACTTCAAGGCCGTTTCAACTCCAAGTAAATACATTGAAAACAATTCAAGGTTAAGTCACAATTTTCAAAAGGAACCCCTCATTTTTATCCTGGAATTGGAACAAGCAAGAAAAGTTATGTCCAAATGTGACCTTAACCTTAAATTCCAGGTCATATCAATCTTAAATATCATTTGTAACATCTAATATTTGATTGCGATGCAGAGAGCTAGAAACTTTATATTTAAACCTGTAAAATTTTACATTACCTTGGAGGTGGTTGTCCAGATCATGGTCCAAATCACCTTTGGGTGACCGCCACAAAGCTCATAACTGTGCTGTCGAACGTTTGCTAGAGTAAATTGTTTTCAGTGTCTTAATTTTACCTTGAAATGGCCTTGCTAGTCATGGTGTTCGTCTTAATCAAGGTCATACTCAGACGTAACATTTCATCCTCTTTCCAATTTCAGGGAAAATATTCTCTTGTCCGCAATGATCGTGATGGTCGCCGTCAAGGTCATGCCCAAGATTATAATAGATTAGAATATATGTTTATTTAGCTTTAAGCTACAATATTACCATTAACATACATAACATAAATATTCTGACATTTTGTACGATTTTCTTTAGTGGTATAAAGCGTTAAGCGTCCAAGAAAAGCGATTCATCCAAGGGCCTAGTTTTCAACCTTCCACTATAATAATTGCACTTGATCTTATGTTATATTATACCACACTAGGTCCTTTCAACATGAATTTGTTAAAATAAATTGATGCTTTTTGGTTTTCATTTTATACGATAAGATTAAGTTTTCTTCTATGATAATCTGCACTGTTAAAAAATTTAAATTTTGTCTTATGACCTCAAATGGCGTGTACCTACTATAGTTTAATAGTAGTCTCAGAGACACTTGTTTAATAATAGTTGGATCCTTTATTTATTTTTCCATTTAACAAGAAATTACTAATGATGAGCAATGATTGAAATGTGTTATAAATTATTTTTACACACCACAATTTGGATGAAATTCTGTCGACATTTCCTTAACAATTCTTTATCCATAAATATAGCCCCCATGCTCACTGAAACTTAAATTTTGATAGAACAACGGTAAGAAGTGAGGCAGATTATTGCTATCTTTGCGATAGCAAGGACTGCCCAATACAAAATTTAAATTATTAAAAATTAATCTGCCACGAAAATACATACATATCGCTTATTTCAACCGTTATATCTGTTGATCGGTTGTCATCCCTATTTTGGAGTAGTCTGAGTAACCAAAGCTCATGATTTATTGGATTTTCATATATGCTGGATATCACAAGTTTCATAACAAACATCTCTTGTCAGTGGAACTACACGCAAAGACATTATTGCAAAAATAAATGAAGTAAAAGGTGAAATGAAAGGGTGGTGCCAAGCAAATCGTTTGATTTTAAACCTCGAAAAGTCAGATGTTGTACATTTTTATACAAACGCCCCTATTCTAGCAAGTCATGAGACATCTAAAACTACGACATTCTTGGGAATAGAAATTGATGCAAAGCTCAGTTGGCAACAACACATGGACAGTTTGTGTAAAACGTTGAGCCAATCATATTATGGGATTCTTAAGCTCAAGTTTTGCTTATCAGTCAGCTTTACTAGATGTATATTATGCTCTCGTCCACTCACATTTATCAAGAAACATCATAATTTGGGGGCAATCAACTTCAATTTCTAGAGCATTTGTTCAACAGAAGAGAATAATCAGATTGATATTCAACATTTGTAGAAGAGAATCCTGCTTAGAGATCTTCAGAAGTAAAAACACCATGACTCTACCAAGCATTCATATTTATAAGTGAGCCCTTTTCACACATATAAACAAAACAAAATTTATACAGAACAAAAACATCAACACACATTATAATACAAGGGCAGGTGAGAGTCTGGGTATTCCAAAACACACACTGACGCTGTTCGAAAAGTCACCGGAATACACCTGCATCAGAATATGTAACAAACTTTCACCTAACCTCAGGAATGTCATTATTAGTTGAAAAATGTTTCTACTCTTTGTCTGAATACCTCGCACTGTGACATATTTTTAAAACTTTTTTATACGTGAATGTCTGTACGCCTTAAGTTGTTCCTGTTTGTACTTTGTAAATACTTATGTTTGTTTTGTTTTTATTTTTAATTATGTGTTCTATGTACCTCCCCCTTAGGACGAGTCTTAGGTCATTTTTATGATCTACAAGACAATAAATCTATCAATAGGGACCAAAGAACTAATTTTTGAAAAAATGAGTACTGCTTACGGAATTCAAAATGAATTACCCTCTGCTTTGATGCGAATATTTTGAGATCATGTGGAGGCGTTGTTTAGTACTCGTATTATTGCCTTCTTCCATCCGACCAACAGGGGGCCAACCGTGTACAGCGGTTTCATCTTCATTAGCAATTGTCAGCACGGTTTAGGCTTTGTCTCTAGGTAGGAACTGAGAAGTATCTCAGTTCAGTTTTTTTATTTTTTTGTTTTATTTGCATCAAGTTAAATTAAAAGAAAACATTTTGAGTGCATTTCTGAGAGAAGTATCTCAGTTGGTTTTTTATTTTTTATTTTGTTTGCATCAAGTTAAATTAACAGGAAACATTTTGAGTGCATTTCTGTATAAGTGTTTACGATTTAGGTCGTTGATAACCCTTAATGAAATTAATGTAGCATTCGGAGAACCCAGATAAGTCTATATATTTACAATTTATAAAAACTTATCTAAGGCATATGGAAAGTACTCTAATAGAGGTATTCACTACTTACATGGTGATTCATATTAGATCGTGTGGAATCACTACATTGAAATGAAGAGTCAAAACATTCTATCACTATCACGAAAATGCGAAATACATATTAGGATATACCTTTAAAAAAAGAAGGTTGATTTAAAGCGAATGTCACACGATCAGTATTTACTAAGATCTGTCAGTACCAGTGGATTTCTACGTAATCTTCTACATCAATAATCACTGAAGTCTTGGCTACACTATGAACAGATATCACATTCCATGGTAAATAGTGACAGATCATAGTAAATACTGGTCGTGTGACATTCGCCTTAAACATTATCTGGTTTTGACGGTTAGTTTAGTTATAAGCGAGTAAATTGTACAAAAATGCTTAACTTTGAAGCCCGTAAGTTCGCTATTTTGGCTATTTTAAGAAATAAAATTTTATAGATTTTTTTATACCGAAGCCTAAATACCATGGCACCGCGGCTGCTGTGAGGAGCTTAAAGAAACTTTGTTAATTCGATTTTTGAACTCCCTAGGGTCAGTAGAATTCGGAAAAGTCTCATGTAGATTTTTCCACAATCTAGGTACATTAAGGGCAAATGAGACGGAAGCCAGGCGGGTTTCCCTGGCAGGCACATATCGCAGCGTCATCATGGAGAAGAACTCCGAGGAGCAAAGCCCGTTGATATACCTGTAGAGGAGAGCGTCAGCGCTCTCCTATTGTCGGGCTATATTTCTTTTTGAATTGTAGGAAATTCCAGGCAGATGATACGAATCAAAAGTATGAACAATTTGATGCAAATAGATATTTGTAAGATAACCTCAAAGTAGATCGCTGACACGAAAGAGTAGAAAACTATGAAAATCAAGGACGCCATAAAGGCGTCATACATAGGAACGACTGATGATACGACCCTTAGCTCTGAATAAATAGCCTAGATTTTTCCCAGCAGCTGTCGCTGTTGACAAGATGAGTTCGTGCCAGATCAAGTCCTCGGTGATCTGGACTCCGACTAGTCAAATTGAACGGCTCTTTGGTACAATTCGGTCACCCATCGAAACCGGATGAGCGCTAGTACGCTTCTTGTCAATTTACAGCACTGTATTTTGGAAGCATTAAACATTAGCAGATTGTTCGGTCTCCAAGCAGTGGTAACCTCCAGGTCTCTCGTTAGAGAGGAAGTCGCTGCTAGTCTTCTTTTCCCCAGCTCACTGGCAGATATTAGATTGTTACACTAAACTGCTGCATGTAGAGTGCTGTCATCAGTTAAGCTGTGGATCGCATTGGTTGTACAGAAAAGGAGGTCGTTGATAAGAGAAACAATGTCGGAGCCAAGACCGATCCCTGGGGAACACCCGCGCTGACACTAAGAGGACAACCCGTCAATTACGATGGATATCTTGCGGCCAAAGAGGAAGTTAGCTACCCGTTAGCAAAGCTTCTTTGCGAAGCCATACGATGGAAGTTAGCATAAGGGGGCTGCATGCCACAGCTGATTGAACGCTTCGTGATATCAAGAGCAACGACATGAGCCTTACGATACGACTGGTTTACTTCACAGTTGCGTGTGGTTTTGCCTGTAACTAACCAAGCCGTGACGTTCAAGGTTTGAGCAGTGTAGTTGTAAAGGTTGGTCTTTGATACATTTTTTGATGGGCTAGACTTAATAAGCAAATTTTCAGTATTCTAAGT